AAAATCAACTCACCTTTTTTTCCTTTTCCTGCTGCAACCTTTCTTCTTCACTCTAATGATTTGACAAAATCCGTAGAAAATAAGAAGTGACCCAGACATGGAAAATGACGAGTTGAAATAGAAGAAAAAGGATAAAAACCTGGGTGGTTATGGGATAAAGAAAAAGCACAGCAAGAACGGGGTTTGGAACCATTTGCAGAAGCTCTTCATCTAAGCCATAAACGTCACAGCATTCTGCCTCGTCCTCTCCAAGCCCAAGTCCCCAAAGGAACTGCAAATCACCCATATAATTATACGCTAAACTATGAATATCATTAATTCGAAGAAGAGTGAGAAGCAAAAGTATTCAACTTCAAAACCCGAAGAAGATTCTCGATTAAAATTAAAACTTGTTACTATTCAAATCGCATTAAAGAAAAACAAAGAAGAACAATGGCACAAATAATAATACGCAAGGAGTATCCACGGAGAGAACCTGATTCATGATTTCAGGGTTTGCTTCGAGCGGAAGCCACCTTTTAGCAGAAGAAGCCATTGTTTTCTCTCTTCTTCTCAATGCTCCACCTACGCTACCTTCACACCTGTGATTCCTCTGCCTTTATACGCCTCTTATGGGCCCACAAGGCCCACCTCTTTCTCAAAATAATCTAAGCCCACTCTTTAGCATGTCTTATTTATGGATTGGATTATTGCACAAATTGATCAGGGGCAGCTATATAGTAATTATTAGAAAACGTTCAGTGACAATTTATCATGCTATGAAAAAGTTCTTTTTTTTTTATTTTAAGGAAAAAAAAAATTCTTGACGGCCATGTTATAGCGTATAGAACACGTTAATTGTGTGAGTGAACTTTGATTCCTTATTCTTAAATATACATTCTTCCTATTGTTTCACATACAATACTTTCTTTCATACCGAACACAGAAATGATGGGATTTTTCTTATAAACGTTTATGGGGAGGTTGTTATATATCATAAGCTCCACTTAATAAATTGCTATTATTTTTAACTCAAAATTTTAAAGTAATATATTTACGAATTTTTTTCTCTTATACGATATTTAATTTTATTAATTTTACCCTTGAAACTTTCAGTCACACTTAAATACTAAGTATAATAACAGAATGGAAATCATACATAATGCAATCAAATGTTTTTATCTGGTGTTTAATCGATCTACCTTAGAACACTAACCATGAAAAAGATGTTTCATGGAATAATGTTTCTCTCAGGTCTCATAATCTACGAACCCAGCGCTCGAGCCTAAGTTGTTTCATAGCTGGCCCAACATCAGGTTTACGTTTCTGTGGGCATTGCCATTTCCCTGTTATCCCTATGTCATCATATAGTTGAACATTTGTTGATTCTGTTAATGCCTTTCTCTTTGTAACACCACATTGCAATGGAATTTTTACTGTACTTACTGACCGCTCTAACAATATCTTTTCAGGTTTCTTCCCACAATTTTCATCGTTTCCTCCTGTGAAAATTTTCTTCCTTGTTGTCACAAAGCCGTCATTTTCTTTATTGTTTGTACAGGCTGCAGTTCTTGTTGAGAAGGTTTTAGTTGCAGTTACACTCAAGTCAAGCTTGTTATCAGGTTGGATATCAGTTGTGTTTGATATTTGGGAATCGTTCTTATGCAGCAGCTTTGGAGGTTTCGTAGCACTTTTATCGGTATCCAGTGACATTGGATGTCCTTCTCGATCGTAATGAGGCCTTGTGTGATTCAGATCTAACGTCTCCTTGTAATTAGTTGGACCATGTTTATGCTGCAGCGTTGTTCTAACTTGCCTGCATGGCTGCAAAATCTTTTTCTGATAAGTGTCAACTGTAGTTGAATTTTTCTTCACTTCAGCACAATCATCACCCTATGATTTCAACCGCAAAGAAAACCAGTGGGACAGATGACTTGGAGGATAATACAGTTCAATTCATGTATTCAGAGCAATATATTAACCAAACTTCCTTTCACTACCAAAAAATATCCATATATTTACAGTCGTAGTTAAAAGTCTACTGATTAATATAGACTTCGTCCATAAGAGTGGAATGATTAGTATTAAGATTTATAAGTTATGATGCTTCGTAACATGTATACCATTGATGAAATTATATAAGTTAAATATTCACATTATCAGCAGACTGATAGATTTATGTTTCTATCTCCACTTTTTATATTACATTACCAAAAAAGATAAAATGATATTAAAATTGAGAATACTAAAACATTAACTAAGGCTCGGAGCCTTTACACATTAGTATAGATATTTTCATAATGTATATACTGTAAACCAACAGTCCAATTTTCAAGTATATTCAGTTCACATTGGCAAGCTACTATACTCTAAACTTGGGGGCATACAGTGACTCCGATTGGGTATTGTGTCTAGTAATGTCTGGCAACTAAGTTATCCATTATTAGATACCTTGAAGCTAGGTCCAGTCCCTATCTCATGGAAACTGAAACAAATAGAGAATGTATATATGCCCAGATGAATGGCTTGTGATGTGATAGTGCAGATAGAAATTCACTTTCTAATTTCAGGTTTTCATCTGCGATTTTGTTAGTATAATATTGAAAACATACCTCACATATTATGCTAATGGCTAAATTTTCGTTGCACAGTCCATTTCCATAGGCACGAGGTAAAAATCTACATACTAGAATGTATTTTTCTGAATTGCTTAAACTGCCTCTAAACAAACAGTATCTATTCATTGAAAGACCGTAAGTCTAATTGAGCATAAATATTTATTAGCTTACTTTCACTCAGTCTCATCAGAAACCATAACCATATGTAATTTCATTGAGTAAATATGTGACATTTAAAGAGGTAATTAGAAAAATGAAAGGTTTGGATAGAATAAAAAAAGAGTACCGAGCACCCTATTAAGGCTGCTTTTTTGCTTTTACCTTTGTTTTATTATTAGAGGAGTCATTGTGCTCAACACACCCTTTCAAGTAGCCATTGGCAGGCTTGCTTCCGTCTGCTTTCACGACTTCAAAATCAAACTTCTCACAGTGGTTCTCTTCAGAAACTTCATCTCTTAAAATACTACATGTATCAAACTCAGGTGACTCGTAAACATAGCTGGAAAACCAGTTTCTGATGTCAGGAGGCTCTGAATCAGAAAAAGGAAAACGGCACACACAAAAAAGCTGAGATAATTGATTATGCAGGACTGAAAACACAACCATAGCTCAATTTTGAAAAAGAAATCCTACAAGAAGCAAGACAAAGTACAAACCAGAAAGGAGTGAACATGAACTGAAAGGTCCAAGATTCTGCAAGAAAAAAAACAGATAAAGTTCTAAAATCTCCATCTTAACATATGAGTGTCTAACTTCAAAAGCCATAAATTAAAACTCAACCCATAAATACAAATAAGGGAGATTCAAAAATAAATAAATAATGAGAAGAAGATTCACCTTGTTCATGCACTGTTCTTCGTTATGATTATCCTCTTCTTCATGACCTACATTGTCCCTATCAGGCCGTAGACCTCGAATCCTAACCTTTTCTTCTACAACTTCTTCACCATCTCCCTGAGACTCGTTTTCCGTGAAAGCAGAATCTTTAACTCTAAAATTCGAATCCGGGTCGGGAGACTGATACTCATAGCTAGAGAACCAATTCCCAACATCAGGGGGCTCTAACATGCATACCCACAAGACACGGAAATCAAAAGGAGATAACTTTCAACATTAACAGGAAATTGATAAGTTTTGAGAAGTAATTGATTCGAACCAGAAGGGAATGAAAAAGAAGACCGCAAATTGGGAACCTGAAAAGAAAAAAGAAAATGAAGAAACAGTTGGTGATGGAGGAAAATGGGAAAATTAGTTTATACCTGAGAATTCAGGCCTTCAAAGCTTGGGATCGAATCCATCAAAATGCGTTCATCAAGCTACGATCTTCCACGACAAGAAAGTAAAGCGGGTAATGCCAATTTTTCGTTCCAAAATTTTTACAGTATTTATTACCATTTTTAAATTTTGGCGCCGAGTAATTGGCGCCACTTTTCCTAAGACGCGTTTGAAAACAATAAAGTTTTCTCACGACCGACTAATTGAATTTAAGTATTTTTTTATTTATTTGAAAGTAAAAGGTTGTTTTAAAATTCTTATCAACTTCCAAACTTTTATTTTTACACATTTAACTTACTTGTACATAACTTAAAATTAGTTCAAGTCAAAAATATCGATAAAAGAAATGTTAAATTCATCATCAATTTTTTTCATTAATTTATAGGAAATTTAAAAGTGTTAAAATAAATTTAAAAACTATAAAACTAAATATGGTTTTCATTCGAAATCTATTATCAAAAACTATATTCCATCTCTAAACTAAACTTCACTTGTCATTTGTTAAAAAAATATTTTGTATAAGTTTAATAAAATTTAAAGATAGAATGTCTATAATTTAATTTAAAAATAAAATATAAATTTTTATAATAGTTTATGATGAAAAACAGATTTTGGGTTAATAAAATAAATAATCACCAAAAGATAATTAATAAATAAATAAATAATGAGGATAATGGGTTAATAAAAAACCTTACTGATAATCTTATGACTTTNTGTTTGATATTTGGGAATCGTTCTTATGCAGCAGCTTTGGAGGTTTCGTAGCACTTTTATCGGTATCCAGTGACATTGGATGTCCTTCTCGATCGTAATGAGGCCTTGTGTGATTCAGATCTAACGTCTCCTTGTAATTAGTTGGACCATGTTTATGCTGCAGCGTTGTTCTAACTTGCCTGCATGGCTGCAAAATCTTTTTCTGATAAGTGTCAACTGTAGTTGAATTTTTCTTCACTTCAGCACAATCATCACCCTATGATTTCAACCGCAAAGAAAACCAGTGGGACAGATGACTTGGAGGATAATACAGTTCAATTCATGTATTCAGAGCAATATATTAACCAAACTTCCTTTCACTACCAAAAAATATCCATATATTTACAGTCGTAGTTAAAAGTCTACTGATTAATATAGACTTCGTCCATAAGAGTGGAATGATTAGTATTAAGATTTATAAGTTATGATGCTTCGTAACATGTATACCATTGATGAAATTATATAAGTTAAATATTCACATTATCAGCAGACTGATAGATTTATGTTTCTATCTCCACTTTTTATATTACATTACCAAAAAAGATAAAATGATATTAAAATTGAGAATACTAAAACATTAACTAAGGCTCGGAGCCTTTACACATTAGTATAGATATTTTCATAATGTATATACTGTAAACCAACAGTCCAATTTTCAAGTATATTCAGTTCACATTGGCAAGCTACTATACTCTAAACTTGGGGGCATACAGTGACTCCGATTGGGTATTGTGTCTAGTAATGTCTTGCAACTTATTTATCCTTTTTTATATACCTTGAAGCTAGGTCCAGTCCCTATCTCATGGAAACTGAAACAAATAGAGAATGTATATATGCCCAGATGAATGGCTTGTGATGTGATAGTGCAGATAGAAATTCACTTTCTAATTTCAGGTTTTCATCTGCGATTTTGTTAGTATAATATTGAAAACATACCTCACATATTATGCTAATGGCTAAATTTTCGTTGCACAGTCCATTTCCATAGGCACGAGGTAAAAATCTACATACTAGAATGTATTTTTCTGAATTGCTTAAACTGCCTCTAAACAAACAGTATCTATTCATTGAAAGACCGTAAGTCTAATTGAGCATAAATATTTATTAGCTTACTTTCACTCAGTCTCATCAGAAACCATAACCATATGTAATTTCATTGAGTAAATATGTGACATTTAAAGAGGTAATTAGAAAAATGAAAGGTTTGGATAGAATAAAAAAAGAGTACCGAGCACCCTATTAAGGCTGCTTTTTTGCTTTTACCTTTGTTTTATTATTAGAGGAGTCATTGTGCTCAACACACCCTTTCAAGTAGCCATTGGCAGGCTTGCTTCCGTCTGCTTTCACGACTTCAAAATCAAACTTCTCACAGTGGTTCTCTTCAGAAACTTCATCTCTTAAAATACTACATGTATCAAACTCAGGTGACTCGTAAACATAGCTGGAAAACCAGTTTCTGATGTCAGGAGGCTCTGAATCAGAAAAAGGAAAACGGCACACACAAAAAAGCTGAGATAATTGATTATGCAGGACTGAAAACACAACCATAGCTCAATTTTGAAAAAGAAATCCTACAAGAAGCAAGACAAAGTACAAACCAGAAAGGAGTGAACATGANAAAATCAACTCACCTTTTTTTCCTTTTCCTGCTGCAACCTTTCTTCTTCACTCTAATGATTTGACAAAATCCGTAGAAAATAAGAAGTGACCCAGACATGGAAAATGACGAGTTGAAATAGAAGAAAAAGGATAAAAACCTGGGTGGTTATGGGATAAAGAAAAAGCACAGCAAGAACGGGGTTTGGAACCATTTGCAGAAGCTCTTCATCTAAGCCATAAACGTCACAGCATTCTGCCTCGTCCTCTCCAAGCCCAAGTCCCCAAAGGAACTGCAAATCACCCATATAATTATACGCTAAACTATGAATATCATTAATTCGAAGAAGAGTGAGAAGCAAAAGTATTCAACTTCAAAACCCGAAGAAGATTCTCGATTAAAATTAAAACTTGTTACTATTCAAATCGCATTAAAGAAAAACAAAGAAGAACAATGGCACAAATAATAATACGCAAGGAGTATCCACGGAGAGAACCTGATTCATGATTTCAGGGTTTGCTTCGAGCGGAAGCCACCTTTTAGCAGAAGAAGCCATTGTTTTCTCTCTTCTTCTCAATGCTCCACCTACGCTACCTTCACACCTGTGATTCCTCTGCCTTTATACGCCTCTTATGGGCCCACAAGGCCCACCTCTTTCTCAAAATAATCTAAGCCCACTCTTTAGCATGTCTTATTTATGGATTGGATTATTGCACAAATTGATCAGGGGCAGCTATATAGTAATTATTAGAAAACGTTCAGTGACAATTTATCATGCTATGAAAAAGTTCTTTTTTTTTTATTTTAAGGAAAAAAAAAATTCTTGACGGCCATGTTATAGCGTATAGAACACGTTAATTGTGTGAGTGAACTTTGATTCCTTATTCTTAAATATACATTCTTCCTATTGTTTCACATACAATACTTTCTTTCATACCGAACACAGAAATGATGGGATTTTTCTTATAAACGTTTATGGGGAGGTTGTTATATATCATAAGCTCCACTTAATAAATTGCTATTATTTTTAACTCAAAATTTTAAAGTAATATATTTACGAATTTTTTTCTCTTATACGATATTTAATTTTATTAATTTTACCCTTGAAACTTTCAGTCACACTTAAATACTAAGTATAATAACAGAATGGAAATCATACATAATGCAATCAAATGTTTTTATCTGGTGTTTAATCGATCTACCTTAGAACACTAACCATGAAAAAGATGTTTCATGGAATAATGTTTCTCTCAGGTCTCATAATCTACGAACCCAGCGCTCGAGCCTAAGTTGTTTCATAGCTGGCCCAACATCAGGTTTACGTTTCTGTGGGCATTGCCATTTCCCTGTTATCCCTATGTCATCATATAGTTGAACATTTGTTGATTCTGTTAATGCCTTTCTCTTTGTAACACCACATTGCAATGGAATTTTTACTGTACTTACTGACCGCTCTAACAATATCTTTTCAGGTTTCTTCCCACAATTTTCATCGTTTCCTCCTGTGAAAATTTTCTTCCTTGTTGTCACAAAGCCGTCATTTTCTTTATTGTTTGTACAGGCTGCAGTTCTTGTTGAGAAGGTTTTAGTTGCAGTTACACTCAAGTCAAGCTTGTTATCAGGTTGGATATCAGTTGTGTTTGATATTTGGGAATCGTTCTTATGCAGCAGCTTTGGAGGTTTCGTAGCACTTTTATCGGTATCCAGTGACATTGGATGTCCTTCTCGATCGTAATGAGGCCTTGTGTGATTCAGATCTAACGTCTCCTTGTAATTAGTTGGACCATGTTTATGCTGCAGCGTTGTTCTAACTTGCCTGCATGGCTGCAAAATCTTTTTCTGATAAGTGTCAACTGTAGTTGAATTTTTCTTCACTTCAGCACAATCATCACCCTATGATTTCAACCGCAAAGAAAACCAGTGGGACAGATGACTTGGAGGATAATACAGTTCAATTCATGTATTCAGAGCAATATATTAACCAAACTTCCTTTCACTACCAAAAAATATCCATATATTTACAGTCGTAGTTAAAAGTCTACTGATTAATATAGACTTCGTCCATAAGAGTGGAATGATTAGTATTAAGATTTATAAGTTATGATGCTTCGTAACATGTATACCATTGATGAAATTATATAAGTTAAATATTCACATTATCAGCAGACTGATAGATTTATGTTTCTATCTCCACTTTTTATATTACATTACCAAAAAAGATAAAATGATATTAAAATTGAGAATACTAAAACATTAACTAAGGCTCGGAGCCTTTACACATTAGTATAGATATTTTCATAATGTATATACTGTAAACCAACAGTCCAATTTTCAAGTATATTCAGTTCACATTGGCAAGCTACTATACTCTAAACTTGGGGGCATACAGTGACTCCGATTGGGTATTGTGTCTAGTAATGTCTGGCAACTAAGTTATCCATTATTAGATACCTTGAAGCTAGGTCCAGTCCCTATCTCATGGAAACTGAAACAAATAGAGAATGTATATATGCCCAGATGAATGGCTTGTGATGTGATAGTGCAGATAGAAATTCACTTTCTAATTTCAGGTTTTCATCTGCGATTTTGTTAGTATAATATTGAAAACATACCTCACATATTATGCTAATGGCTAAATTTTCGTTGCACAGTCCATTTCCATAGGCACGAGGTAAAAATCTACATACTAGAATGTATTTTTCTGAATTGCTTAAACTGCCTCTAAACAAACAGTATCTATTCATTGAAAGACCGTAAGTCTAATTGAGCATAAATATTTATTAGCTTACTTTCACTCAGTCTCATCAGAAACCATAACCATATGTAATTTCATTGAGTAAATATGTGACATTTAAAGAGGTAATTAGAAAAATGAAAGGTTTGGATAGAATAAAAAAAGAGTACCGAGCACCCTATTAAGGCTGCTTTTTTGCTTTTACCTTTGTTTTATTATTAGAGGAGTCATTGTGCTCAACACACCCTTTCAAGTAGCCATTGGCAGGCTTGCTTCCGTCTGCTTTCACGACTTCAAAATCAAACTTCTCACAGTGGTTCTCTTCAGAAACTTCATCTCTTAAAATACTACATGTATCAAACTCAGGTGACTCGTAAACATAGCTGGAAAACCAGTTTCTGATGTCAGGAGGCTCTGAATCAGAAAAAGGAAAACGGCACACACAAAAAAGCTGAGATAATTGATTATGCAGGACTGAAAACACAACCATAGCTCAATTTTGAAAAAGAAATCCTACAAGAAGCAAGACAAAGTACAAACCAGAAAGGAGTGAACATGAACTGAAAGGTCCAAGATTCTGCAAGAAAAAAAACAGATAAAGTTCTAAAATCTCCATCTTAACATATGAGTGTCTAACTTCAAAAGCCATAAATTAAAACTCAACCCATAAATACAAATAAGGGAGATTCAAAAATAAATAAATAATGAGAAGAAGATTCACCTTGTTCATGCACTGTTCTTCGTTATGATTATCCTCTTCTTCATGACCTACATTGTCCCTATCAGGCCGTAGACCTCGAATCCTAACCTTTTCTTCTACAACTTCTTCACCATCTCCCTGAGACTCGTTTTCCGTGAAAGCAGAATCTTTAACTCTAAAATTCGAATCCGGGTCGGGAGACTGATACTCATAGCTAGAGAACCAATTCCCAACATCAGGGGGCTCTAACATGCATACCCACAAGACACGGAAATCAAAAGGAGATAACTTTCAACATTAACAGGAAATTGATAAGTTTTGAGAAGTAATTGATTCGAACCAGAAGGGAATGAAAAAGAAGACCGCAAATTGGGAACCTGAAAAGAAAAAAGAAAATGAAGAAACAGTTGGTGATGGAGGAAAATGGGAAAATTAGTTTATACCTGAGAATTCAGGCCTTCAAAGCTTGGGATCGAATCCATCAAAATGCGTTCATCAAGCTACGATCTTCCACGACAAGAAAGTAAAGCGGGTAATGCCAATTTTTCGTTCCAAAATTTTTACAGTATTTATTACCATTTTTAAATTTTGGCGCCGAGTAATTGGCGCCACTTTTCCTAAGACGCGTTTGAAAACAATAAAGTTTTCTCACGACCGACTAATTGAATTTAAGTATTTTTTTATTTATTTGAAAGTAAAAGGTTGTTTTAAAATTCTTATCAACTTCCAAACTTTTATTTTTACACATTTAACTTACTTGTACATAACTTAAAATTAGTTCAAGTCAAAAATATCGATAAAAGAAATGTTAAATTCATCATCAATTTTTTTCATTAATTTATAGGAAATTTAAAAGTGTTAAAATAAATTTAAAAACTATAAAACTAAATATGGTTTTCATTCGAAATCTATTATCAAAAACTATATTCCATCTCTAAACTAAACTTCACTTGTCATTTGTTAAAAAAATATTTTGTATAAGTTTAATAAAATTTAAAGATAGAATGTCTATAATTTAATTTAAAAATAAAATATAAATTTTTATAATAGTTTATGATGAAAAACAGATTTTGGGTTAATAAAATAAATAATCACCAAAAGATAATTAATAAATAAATAAATAATGAGGATAATGGGTTAATAAAAAACCTTACTGATAATCTTATGACTTTTCTTATTGCATTCTCATAATTTCTTAGTTCATTATTTTAAATTTTCAAAATGATCATTTTTTTTTTCGGAAAAGTAATTTTCAGATTATATATTTTTCAAACTTTTGGGCTTTCTAAAATTTTCAAAACAAAATTTCTAAAACAATTTTTGGAATGAAATTTCTTAAATGTGATTTTTGGAATAGAATTTTCAATACATATGAAATGTATTTTGGAAAATGAATTTTGGGTTGGATTTCTAGAATAAACTTTTCGGAATCCTAATAATGTCTTTTAAAATAGTTTTTCTAAAACACTTCTACACGAAATGTATTATTAAAATAACATAACTTTTTCGGAACATCTCAAATACTTTCGAAATGGTTCTTTTAAGAAGGGATAATAAGTTTAATTATTTAATTTAAGTAAAAGTTTGAAACCATTTCTATCTACATATTCAATGAATATAATTTATTTTTTCTCATTTCATCCTCACTTTGTACATGTTCCCATGTTTACTTTATTATTATTTTAATATTAGTTAATTAATTTTTATAAAATTAATACAAATTAGAAAAAATATATAATATTATTAAATATTTATGGTCAAATAAACGTAATTAATGCCAAATATTTAAAAATAAATAATAATTTTATGAATTTCAAATTAAAATAACAAATAATAATTAGATAAAAGTAGAATAATTATACAAAAACTTACACAATTACACCTAAATAAAATTTCATAGTAACGAAAAACATTCGTTATTTTTGAAAATGTTAATGAAATAAAAAAATTTAAGTTAAAAAATATTCTTAAAAATTATAAAAAGCAAGCAAATATTTAAATTTATAAACATTTTAAATGTTTCTTTACTTTCTTTCTCTAAATTATAATAAAATTTATTTTCTTTTATACATTAATAAAAATTATAATATATTACTCAAATGAAATCACATACAAACAAATGTTTAAACTATTAATAATTTGAATTTAAACATAAATATTTTGTCTCTTTTGAAGTAGTCTAAGACCAATGTGTTTAAGCCACCACACGCATTGGATATTGTAAAATTTTTCATTAACTGTCATTGATTAGGCGCCTTGTGAAGAGTTGTTTGGTTCTATTTTAACTGGCAATGAACCCCAGAAAAAAAAAGGATCATATCCTTATCAAACAAATGGGTCATTTTAACTTGAACCCTAACTGCTCAAACAGATTGACACAAAATTATCCTCCGATTTCACAGGCAACTCGTTGTATCGACCTGTGCAGCGTGGCACGAATATTAAGTACGTACGCTCGCCATTTTTAACAACAGTGTGTATCATGATACTTTCTATTACTTTGATATTTTTCAATTGCTAAAATTGATTAAAAGTGTTATTTACATATTTCCTGCAAGGGGAACTTCTCTTGGCAATTCAAGAGAAAAAGGAAAAAAATAAAAAGAACCTGTGAAGTTATCAACTTTTCATCTTGTAGGCAGTGAAAATGGGTTAAGAACAATTTGTTTTTCTAATAACCAACATATCAAGAAAAATCAGCTAATGGTCGGAGTGGGAGCCATTCAGCATTTTAAAATATTAAATGCCATTAAAGTTAATATGGTGGCAAAGAAAAAAATTAAATACCCAGCAAAAATTTAACATGGAAGTAATAAAACTTTGGTACTTTATACATTGTTATGATTATAATAAAATTTATATTTCTAGGACAAGATACGATTCAGAAATGTAATTTCTGTGAGAATAAACTAAATTTCATTTCAATCTCAATACAATGGGAATATTGATACGATGTACAGGCCAAAACTAGCCAAAAAAAATCATAATAAATTATGCAAATACGAAAATGGGAACCTGCTGTCAAGCAAAATATAAGGCAGGGAAGACTGTATATTCTTTATAGTTGAGTCAGTTTCCTTTCGTTCTTTTCGTTCTTTATTTGCTAGTACCCAATCCCTCGTTTCTGTAACTATCTAATGTTCTGTTACAGTTGTTCATTGTGCAGGCATCAAGAAGACCATGATTCCAAAGTTTAATCATGAACAACCTCCAACACCTGCTGCATCAAAGCATATTTTCTAAAAACAGAACTCAAAAATAAACAAAATAAGTTGAAGTTTGAAGAAAAAATTTATAAATCAAAGTATGGTTGATCTGATGTCCCTAAAGTACTACTAGAAGTAATGAATTCAGTCAAAAACTCGTCATTCCATGCTATGAGGGACGTTAATCANGGAGCCATTCAGCATTTTAAAATATTAAATGCCATTAAAGTTAATATGGTGGCAAAGAAAAAAATTAAATACCCAGCAAAAATTTAACATGGAAGTAATAAAACTTTGGTACTTTATACATTGTTATGATTATAATAAAATTTATATTTCTAGGACAAGATACGATTCAGAAATGTAATTTCTGTGAGAATAAACTAAATTTCATTTCAATCTCAATACAATGGGAATATTGATACGATGTACAGGCCAAAACTAGCCAAAAAAAATCATAATAAATTATGCAAATACGAAAATGGGAACCTGCTGTCAAGCAAAATATAAGGCAGGGAAGACTGTATATTCTTTATAGTTGAGTCAGTTTCCTTTCGTTCTTTTCGTTCTTTATTTGCTAGTACCCAATCCCTCGTTTCTGTAACTATCTAATGTTCTGTTACAGTTGTTCATTGTGCAGGCATCAAGAAGACCATGATTCCAAAGTTTAATCATGAACAACCTCCAACACCTGCTGCATCAAAGCATATTTTCTAAAAACAGAACTCAAAAATAAACAAAATAAGTTGAAGTTTGAAGAAAAAATTTATAAATCAAAGTATGGTTGATCTGATGTCCCTAAAGTACTACTAGAAGTAATGAATTCAGTCAAAAACTCGTCATTCCATGCTATGAGGGACGTTAATCATTCAGCATTATTCCTTTTAGTTGGAAAACTCCATGAAATTTGAGAAATATTAATGGAAGATAGGAGTACCAGAATAAAGTTGGAGATGTGACCAGCTTTTTTCCATGAAGCTTGGAAAATGCCTCACAGGCCCACGGCACATGACCATCCGCCAGCACCCTGCAACGGTAAAAACATGAGTAACCAACAAGAATCATACACACAATACAGAATGATGGTTTTTTTCTCATGCAAAAACCTAACAAGCAAACTAGTGTTATTAATGAGGGGGAAAGAAAACTAAAGAAAGTTTAATATATAGCTGTCATCATTAAATACCTTTGCTTCCTCATAAAGGAGTTCCAGAGATGCATGAGTTGTTTTTCATCTTTGGAAACATCCACAAAATCATCAAGCATCTGCAACATTGCAATTCAACAATAAATTATCATGATTAATATCAGTTTGTTGCCCCGTAAATATTCAATGGGAAATGCACAAAGATTTAGAGAAGCAACTAGGGTAGGGAGGACCAAACTGAACAAGGAATTCTTTACAACATGAAAAGAGCATAATTTCAGTCAAATTTGACACGGCAATTAGGCTCTATACTAAATTTAATAATGTTCCTGTGCTTTACAAAAGGCCCAGAAATAATAAATTCAAATGCACCATTTGGACATAGACAAAAGTGGGAAAAATTAGAGACATAATAAATTGAAAGGTTTCAAGATTACCCTTCTATCTTCAAGATCTGCAATGTCATCGTCAACTTCATCTTCACTGTCACGGTCTGACAACACTTGTTCTGGTGCCATAGGCTTCATTTAACGCACACAAAAGTTAGGCAGTGCTTACGAAAATCAAATATTGATAAGCATTAAAAAAAAAATCCACAACCAAGGTAAATTTCATTTATTATAATATAATGTTACACTTTATTAAGCTAGATGAAGGGTTCAAATATAGAGAGAAAGAGTCAGGGCACCCAAGCCAGAGAACTAGCTAACCCTAGGTTCCAACAATTCATAACAAACAAGTCTCATACCCTCTTTCCTTCTCTTCTCTACGCATAACTAGCACCACCTTCAATAAGCAACCGTATAAAAAATCCCTCAAACAACTCCTGCTTCGCAGTTATAAAAAAATGAATTAATTCATGAATATCCAGTTTTATTGTATATTATGATCTTTTACGAGTATTTTCCATATTTTATCACTTATTTCTCAATAATAAATAAGGGCAGATACTATATATTTAGGATACATCAAAACATCAATTTCTGATTATTCACTAGCCTGTTTTCCTTTCCTCCTTCCCTACCTAAAAATCTCCACAATTTCAAGAACAGAAGATTCCATCACTGTTTCTAGAATATGAGAAAATGAGCTCTCATAATTAGGAGATTAGGAAATACAATATTAATAAATATTGATCCCCATATACTCGGGTTTATTCAAAATCAAATTTACAACATCAAGCAATAAATAAAATGAAGATTAGAAGACTAGTATTAAAGTTATGCATGAAAGCGAAAGCTGTTTAAATAAAAACAAAAGGTTTCTACAGTTAAAAAATCACATAAGCCTGTGATTCACTTCTAGCAATTAAGTTTATACATAAAAATTCCATGCATCAAAGAGATTATTCCGCACATGCAGATAATAAATTTGAGAGATCAAAGATAACTAATCACCTGGACTCTGTGTGAGTGAAAGAACACTCTCTTCTGCAGAAGCATTCGGCTGGATAAACAATTTTGAATTAAAAAACAGAATTTAAATGCCCAAATCAGGATATTCATGACAAATATAGGGAAAAAAGGCTATGGGTATCACAATCCTCTCAATTAATCAAATATCAAGGCTATGCAAAGTTT